TATGGCTTTTGGGATAAGGAAGGCAACAGCCATTCCTGCCTTGAGCTGCAACTCATAATGTGTTTGGTGGCTGACATGGTAGATGACTCCCAAGAGCTTTTCACTTGCATCCAATCCAAATATCAAGCACCTACTGGCCTAGAGACTGTTATCTCTTGGTGAGAGGGGGTCATTTATCTGCCATAGGTTGGGGTTGTGGGCCTGTGGAAAGGGAAGCCTGACTTCCCTGCCCCTGGCCAGATTTCACATTTTATTTTTGTACTGGGTCCTGCAAACTCTGCAGCCAACCCTGTCACTGACATTCATTATGCTACCATCAAGCTAGGCAGGACAAGGGTATTGCTATTATTATGTCTACTGCTATTATTACTTCTGTTACTGGAGGCCCCCATTCCTTGCCTGTGACTTGTGCTGGAGAAAGCACTTAACAAAATGTCACCTTATTTAGTCCTCATAACAAATGTATGAGCTAGGGCTTATACATTGGAGTGGTCCCCAACTCCTGAGTTTTAGTTTTCTCTTCTGTAAAACTGACAGAAGACTACCTTCACAGGGACATTGTAAGAATGGTATAAGATAGTGTGTGTATAGACAGATGGGAAGACTTGTATTCACCTGCATTACTATAGCGCTGCGTTTGTTTGGAAGAAATATTTTGATAAGTTCTGTGAGGAAAAGGGTGAAACTTCTCCATAGACATACTCAGGGAACTCAAGAAGTTTGCTTAACTTCTGCACTTATGATGGAGTTTGCATTGTTCTCAGGAAGAAGATCATAAAGAAAGAAAAGTCACTGAGGGCAAAGGTTTTGTTGGGGAAAGTGACCACATGCCATTTGGGGATCAGAAATATTAATTGAAGCTTTAAACAAATTGTTTGTTCTGGGTTTATGCTGTAAACACCTCCACCTTCCCATCATCATGAAATCTTCAGCAAAGACTAAGTAACTGAGTAACGCTTTTGTGTATGATTAGATTAATAGGAGGAGGTATCAAAGAGGTATTGAGATTCTTATCCATGTTGGCACAAATGAAAATAGACAGCATGTGTGGGTGCCTTTGCCAGAAGATGAGTATAGAGTTGGTGCTGGATTATAACATTATTTGATTATTTCCTCTGGATGATTTCAATTTTTTGTTCAGGCCATGCCCTTTGAGGAGTATAACAGCAGCTATATACATTTTGTTTAGTTTATATTTCCATGAGTCCCACCACCAGGCTCTGCACACAGGAGACACTTAAATGTTGAGGGCTGATCAATATTAGTAGTAACTTAGTGTAATCATTTCGACAACCTTTTGATGTAGGAATTGGTGTTTCCAATTTATAGATGAGGTATCTGAGGCTCAGAGAGGCCCAGAAACTTGCTTGTGTCACACAGCTACTAAATGGTAAAGCAGAGATACCATGCCATGCTTAATACTTGATGCCTCTCTGGTCAATGAAACTTTAGCAAACTCTCCAGAGTTTCAGTGTCACATAAACCAAACATTACACATTACGTATATTTTAAACACTCCACTGAAATCAGAAAAATTGACTTTAAACATATTCCTAGCAAATAAAAAGTAGAAAGGGGGAGGAAGAGCAACATAAGAAAAAAAAATAGCATAACTTAGTTAGCCCTTAGATAATTGTAGGGTTGTACTGATATTACTCATTGTACTCTAATGACACCAAAAAGGAAAAATGTGCCAGATAGATGCAACATTTATGCAAGCAAAGGCTGCCTCAAATGTGTCTGAAAGCATGGTTCTTCCTCCAGCCAAGTCAAGTCCAAAGGAGCACATGAATAATTGGCTACAGCTACCCTTTAAGCAAGTGCCAGCTCTCTCTGCTCAGGTTGATACATCTCCAAACCTCAGGGAGTCAGGAATCAGCTGCCAGCAACCAATGGGCTTCTGAGCATTCATAACCAGACCAGGTGCTGATCCATCAAGCTAATTAGCAGCCTGTGGGCCACTGTTAGCTGGGAAAGTAGAGGTTTTTTTAACTTTTCCTGACAAACTCTGGGTCTATCTGTGCTTTTGAACAAGATATGATCACAAAGTACCATCAGTAGAACCACAAAGAAAAAAAAAGCATTTAGAATTCAAAGGAGGGAGGCTAAAAGGAAATATAGGGTTGTTTTAAATGAGACATTAACAAAACAAAGGAAATGAACTTACACACACACACACACACACGAATGTATGTATAGTGATTTTCCCATTTTATATATCTTCATTTTACTTAGCATAGTATCATTCCTGCAGAATGGTCATTTAATAAATGTTTGCTCTTATTGACAATAATACTTAAAACATAAATTATAAGAAAAGGGCAAAATGGGACAGAACTCTAAAGAAGCAAAATATATAGCTTATTGATACCTGAAATACATTTCATCATCAGGATCCCAAAAAAACAGAAAAAAAAAAAGAATTAGCTTCATTGGAAGATAGAGAGAACATGTTGAATGTTCAGAAAAACAGAAAACTTAGTTTAATTAGGAGATGGAATACATCAGAAATAGTGTCACTGCAAACTATAAAGCAGTGTGTAAACCAGCAGAGGAAAGAATCCAGTTGATTTTAATAAATTTGTAGAAATTTTTTATAAATAGTACATTTAAAATTAGTTTTAATGTGATGGTCAGACAGTAAAGTAGTAACCATCAATGAAGCCACAATCATTCCAAATATCTTCATTGACAAAAGAGAAGTATTTTATAGCTAATCAGTTCAATATTTCTTGACTTTAGTGTGGTTTTATTATGGATCCAATAATCACCAATGGAGCAGTGCCAATAAATGATTTGGATATATGAAATAACAAAGAAGCATCCTAGTCCTTGAAGTAGCCAAATCTGAAAATCATACAGAATGGTGAGGCAGAAAACTGGCAGGAGTCTTAAAACACAGAGGTAACATTTATGGAGATGTCTGCATGAGCTCTCTGTCAACATATGGAGAATTGGGGAAGGGCTACGGGATTTCAATGACACCCCCATCATCACCATCTGGAGATAAAAATCCTGCAGTAGATTTTATTTTAACTGTGATATCTTACTGATGAGCTTTATATTAATGACAAGATCCTAGCCAAAGTTCCCTTGGATTACTTACTATAAAACTATTTACTGCTTGGTTCTGAGGTTAAAACATGGATTTATGCCTTTGCAAAGAACAGCTGTCATTGTATTGCAGAATCAGAGTCGAGATAATGTTACTGAGATGATTCCAGAGTCTTCAGGGACCTTAAGAAAGCATTACACTGCAGGGGAAGGTTTGGATGTACTGGCTATAATGTAAACTGTGCTGCCCCAAGTAGCTGATCTACATGTTGAGATTATGAGAGCAAATCCCCCTAAATATTTGCTGAGTTAAAACATAGGGAATGGTTTCTCAGAAAGAGAAGGAGAATGAATTGGATTACTTTTGCTGTAAGAAATTAATGCACTACCCTGGACTATAATCAATTTCAGGATTGTGGTCTTTTAAACAGAAGACAGCAGTTTATCCAGGGTTGATGAGCTATTGGATTCATGCCAAATGAGAATTCTCCATAATGCTTCCTACAGTCTTGTGTGTGTGAAGCAGATGAGGTCACTAGTCTGTTCTATGGTTGGTCTCAGTTATTGCCCTAGAAAAGCAGCTCCCTTACCTCCTACCCACTGCCACAAACTGTCTCCCTATGGTTTGTTCAGAGCCAAACTTCAAGTTCTTCCTGTCTAAGACATTCTTAACAGCAAAGGTAGAAAGCAGCCTATGATCCTGAGTGTATCTACCTCTCCAACCTAAACTATGGTGTCTCCTCACTTGAACCCTTTGATGCACTTTCAGGGCCTGGGGTGGTTGTTTTGTTTTGTTTTGTTTTACCTGTGGGACTCTCTCTGCCTTTAACATCTTTCCACCAGTTCTGTACCTGGGAAACTGTTCTTCCTTTATGTGTTACCTCCTCCGGAAAGCTTTCCCTGATAATAACAGCAAACACTTAGCCCTTTCTTGGTACTGGGTACACTTCTAAATGCTTTATTAAGCACATTTAATTCTCCCCAGAGTCCTACTAAGTAGGTACTATTATAATCTCCATTTAGAGTTAGAGAAACTTAAAGGCAGAGAGGTTAAGAAATTTATTCAAGGTCACTGGTAAGTGGCGGAACTGAGATTATGAGCCAGGGCAGTCAGGCTCCTGAGTGTCTGTCTTCACCACAACTCAGAGCAAAGGAGTCCCTAGTGCTTGCCATGGTAGTCCCAGTACATGCCACCAGAGAATTAACTGCCCAGCACTGCAGTCATCTTTTATAACCCTTCCCTCTTTCCGTGCTTTCAGACTCCAATTAATCCTTCAACACTCAGCCCAGGAAACATTTTCTTTTTTTCCTTAAGCCTTCCTGATCCCGCTCCTCAGCACAGCGAGGGGCATCCTCCACTGTCCACACTGTGCTTCTCTGTGCTAGACCACAAGACCACATGTCTGTTTACTTGTTCATCTTCTCCATTAATCCATAAACTCTTTGAAGGCAGGGGTGCTCTGAAATGTGATAAATAACATAGGTCTTGCTTAATAAATATTTATCTGTTCGATGGATGGATACTTGTGCTGAGAAGTCTCCATTTTGTGACTGGTTTCCAGATCTTACAGCAGATTAAGAACAAAAAGGATTCTATCACAAATCCTGGGGGATTTACGACAAATGCTTAGCTCCAGTTCAGAAAGAAGCAAGACTATTTATAGCTCAGGGGCTCAACATTACATGACCTGGACTTAATTTTTCCTCACAGTTTTGATTTGTAGAACTCTAGACTGGAAGGGCCCTTGGAGATCATTTAGTCCAGGCATTCCAAACTGGTGGCCTCAAGATAAGTTTTATTTGACACTTATTACTATTTGTTTCTATTTTTACTAGAATACCTTTAGGCAGGACATTTCCTCTTTATTTCTCCACCTTCTGCACTATATCCTATCAAAATGTACCACTTCATGTATTTATATCATCCACCTCATCTTTCAAGGCATTTAAGATGAAATATCACATTTTACTCCAATCCAGTTTTGTCCCCCTTTACAGGAAAACTCCTCAAGTCTGTACTTGTGGTCTCCAATTCTCTCACTAACTTGTTTCCAATCAGGTGTCACAGCCACTGACATGTCAAGATGACCAGTGGCCTCCACGCTGCTAAATCCAGTTTCCAGGACTGACCTGAGTCCCCCCTCCTTGATTTTCAAGAACATACTTTCCTGGTTTTCCTTCCACTTCTCTAGCCCTTCTTTCTCTGCCTCCCCTAATTCCTCCTCATACCTTTGTCCTCTAAATATTGGATGGCTCAAGGTACAGTCCTTGGACTGTTCCTTCTCTCCATCTACTCTTACTCCCTTGATGAATAAATGAGGGACTTAATTTTTCCAATGGGAAAAAAAAACCTGAATCCCAGTGAGGGTAAGTAACTTTCCAGGAGCACACAGCGTTAAACTGGCAGAACCTACATCCAGCTTTCTTACCTCCCCATCTAACTCTCAGCCACGACATCGTGATGCAACTTCTGTCCGTCAGATGCATTGACTAACACTGTGCTGAGAGGGAAGGAGATCTCTGGAGTTCTCTCAGCATGTCTTAGGTCTCATCCTTTCTGCTTTCCTACTTAACATCCCCTGTATCATCACTTAGCCTGGGTAAGTCATGGCTGGACAATTATTGATATGTCTGCTAAGTGTTCTGATTTCCTCCCAGAGGAAAACCCTGTGCATGATTCTTCCATTATTCAGGAAGTAATGAAAGTTATAGTCATAATATGTAGGAAAAAAGAATGATTCACTGCTGAGCCACTGAGCCACAGGGAGCAATCCAAGGTTTAGAGTAGACAGTCAGCTAACATAAGTCATGATGATGTCACAGTGGAATATACAAATACCTCAGTGGGCTGATCCAAAAGAACATGGCAATTAAATCAGCTTGATGCTGAGCACTTTTCCACACCATGAAGAGCTGCTCTCCACTCTGACAGCCACATTTAAGGAGAGGCAATAAAAAGAGGTGGCAGGAGGCAGCGATCTATCCAACATACTCCACGGAGGAAGAAATGAATTCAAACTGCTACAGAGTATATAGTGTGAATATAGTCACAAAGAAACATTCTGAAAGAGGTCAAATATGTTTGGACACTGTTGGGCCAATAGGTCTGGTACAGTGTTTTCTTTCCAGAATGGAATTACAGTGTGACATTGGGCATGAAAAATTAATGAGGGCCACTGGATAATATTACAAATATTTAACAAAATATAAACAGCATAGGCCATCAATGGCCAGCAAAGCCTTACCAGTACATGGTAGTTGAACATAGTTCTTGGTGAAACTCACTCAGCTAGCATAGCACAGATACTCTTAATCTCTCTGGACCTCAGTTTAGTTTCTTCATCACAGGATGATGTGTCTCAGTGTTGTTATAAAGATTAAGAGTATTCTTGTGAAAATGTTTGTACATATCAAGTCTTCAATAATAATAGCAAATATTTATATGTCCTTATTATATAACAGGTATTGGCAAATGCTTATTTACTTAATCCTTAAAACAACCCTAAGATTCAACTATTATTATTGCCATTTTACAGATGGAGGAACTGATGTATAGGGAGCTTAAGCACTTTCTCAATGTCACATGCTTAACACGTGGCAAGACTGGATCTCAGGGGCTCAATCTCTCCAATGTTATACTCGTAAATGGCAGGGTTCTTACCTCACACTTTATGCTCCTGCAAACCACACCAAAGTTTCACTGACTCAGTCTCAGTTAAAGGAAAGTAGATGGTACATCACTGTCTGGTGGTCAGTAATTTAGCCCATCTGTCTATCTCTGCTTAGCCCACATATGCATGAAGACAGTAAAAACAAAACAAAACAAAACAAAACAAAACAAAAAAAACAAAAAAACCCAGTCAAATTAATACAAAAGGTAAGATCACAGGTTTGAGAGGCTTTTGTTTTGTTTTCTATTTGGTATCAGCTGAACTACTCTAAGCGTTCAGAATGAAGAGATATTTATCCCAGTTAATGAATCTCATGGTAACATAAATGTCTTCCAGCTCTGAGATTAGTGAGTAGCTCTTGTCTGGGGACCAGTTAGTGAAGCAAATCCTGCATGAACAAAAGACACATGAGATTTGGGAGAATGAGGACGGGAGAAGGGAGAGAATGAGCATTTGTTGAGCGGCTACCTCATGCCAGGCATCACACTAGGTGCTTGACCCTCATTATTTCCATTAATTCTTGTAACAACTCAATCATCAACAAACACTTACTGAGTGCCAGGCCCCAGCATTGTGCTGGGATTACCAAATTGAACAACTCATGGTCCCTTCCCCTCTAAGTAAAATGAAGAAAGAAAACAAGCAGAGTAGCCATTTGAGTTCAGTGTGATGTTAGTTTGGTGTGAGTCCACACAGGCAGTGAAACTAAATGGGCTAACGTGGTACTGGCCCTGTTTATGGTCCCTTCACAAAGGACTCTTTCCTGACGGGGCAGCCTTTTTCTGGGCTAGGTGATACTACCACTGCTCCTCTGTGCTGCTTTCCTTCCCTCTTACAGAGAAGGCTGTAAATTGACTAGGTGAGTGAGAATCTCTCCCTTAGGAATTTACATTTGGAGGCAGAGAAAGAAGTCAGAGATTGAGTTATAGGGACAGAAACTGAGAAGGTGATCAAGAAGGAGTCTAAAGTAGAGTAGAAGGAGGCCGGGTGGGACCAGGGGCAAGCAGAAGTCCTACATAAATAGGCTCTGAGTAAACAGAAGCTGCAAGGCACGTAGAACACCCAGTAGTGTGTGAGGAAGCTAACTGGTACCAGGAAGAGGATGCATTGAAAGAGAGTGTACTGTGATATATGTACCACAATTTACTAAACCATCCCCCTAATGTTAGATCATTTTCAATTTTTCTGTATTACAATGAATCCTATGAAGAATATCCTTGTGCATCAACAATTGTAACATATCTGATCATTTCCTTTAATATGTTCTCGGATCAAAGGCTATACACATTTAAAAACTCCTGTGACAGTATGAATCCTTTTCCACAGAAACAGTTTCCCATTCCTTTCAGTGATAAACGAAAGGCTTTATTTTAGCACATTCTACCAACACTGAGTCTTGGTCAATTAACCATTAAAATTTTTTATTTTCTCAATTCTTTGCATATTTTTCATATGTTATGGGGCATTATTATTTCTTCTTTTGTGAATTGAACTTGTTCATGTCTTTTGTTCATTTTGTCTATTAGAACATTTATGTTTTCCTTATTGACCAATGCTCACTGACATATTTTGCAAATGTTTCCCCATACTTTGCTGTTTGCCTTTTAATTTTTATTTGAGGTGACGAAGTTTTATGTTTTTCAAATACAGTCATCTTTCTTTCTTTCTGCTGAGAAAATACTTTTCTCCTTTCTAGATCAAGAAAATACTGGGGCACCTGGGTGGCTCAGTTGGTTAAGCCTCTGACTTTGGCTCAGGTCATGATCTCATGGTTTGTGGGTTTGAGCCCCGTGTCAGGCTCTGTGCTGACAGCTGGATCAGAGCCTGGAGCCTGTCTTTGGATTCTGTGACTCCCTCTCTCTGACCCTCCCCTGCTCATGCTGTCTCTCTCTCTCAAAAATAAATAAAACATTAAAAAATTTATTAAAAAGATCAAGAAAATACTTGGCTCTGTTTTTTTCTCTTAGTTTCAAAAAAGAGTTTTTGTTTTTGCATTTAACTCTTTTGCTCATTTAGGATTTATTTTGGTGTACTTGAGTCTTTATGAAGGAAAAATTTTAAACTAAAAAAATAGAATTGTGTCATCTTATTCCAGAAAGATCTCAGTTGTGTTAATGCTTGTTCTCTAGCAGAGGCAACCATCAATGAATTTCAATAACCAATGCAATGAATTGGGCACACACAGACCCATTTAAACATATGAGGGAGGGTACAGGATCCAGGATGGGGATGTCATTATTTGTGTGCTCTGTACAGAACCTACCGAGTAAGAATAATTCAACTTACTTTGACTCTTACAAAGAGTCAGAAGCCCTCTATTCTTAAGCTGCACCAGTACTGATTTATAATGGGACATTTATACACACTGTACCTCCTGGACGCCAACACCCACTTTTCAATTGTCTGTCTTTCAAAACTATCTAATTCAATTTCTTTCAAAAAGAACACTGTCATTTGGGAGAAATTTTTCTTTTTTTTCTAGTTTGTACTTATTTTAGTACCCAAGGCAACTTTAACTTATATTTTCCCAGGGTCTTTTTTTCTTTCTTGTTTATTGAAGTATAGTTGACACACGATGTTTCAGGCATACAACTTAGTGACTCAACACGTCTACACATTATGCTGTGCTTACCACAAATGTAGCTACCATCTGTCATTGCACAGTCTTATTACAAAACTATTGACTATATTCCCTATGTTGCATCTTTCATTTCCATAACTGGGAGTTTATACCTCTTAATCCCCTTTATCTATTTCACTTATCTCCTCTACCCACCTCCCCTCTGACAACCACCTGTTTGTTCTCTGTATTTAAGAATCTGGTTTTTTATTTGTTTTCTTTTTTAGTTTCCGCATGTAAATGAAATCATATGGTATGTACTTTCTCTTCTGACTTATTTCACTTAGCATTATTCCCTCTAGGTCCATCTATGTTGTTGCAAATGACAAGATCTCATCTTTTTTATGGCTGAGCAATATTCCATTATATATGTAAACACACACACACACACACATCGCATCTTCTTTATCCATTCATCTATTGACAGACACTTGGGTGGCTTCTGTATCTTGGCTATTGTAAGTAATGCTGCAATAAATACAGGGCTGAGGGTCTTTTTCAAAGTGTGATGTAGTTGTCTATATTTTTAAAAATATGTAATTGTGAATGTATTTAAAATAATAGCAAGTTCAAGAGGAGAGTAAAAGGTAGGGGAACACTCTCAGGAGTGACCACACTATGGACTTTCCATTTCAACAATGGGAAACTTCAGAAATTGGGGAAAGTCCACCAGCTCAATACCCAATTCTCTCAAAGTAATGGTGTATTAGTTTGCTTGGGCTCTCAAGCAAAATGCCACCAGTTGGGTGGTTTACACAACAGAAACTCATTGTCTCACAATTCTGGAGGCTATAGTCCAAGATGATGTGTTGGCAGAATTGGTTTCTCCTGATGGCTGTGACTGAAAATCTGCACCACACTTCTGCCTAGCTTCTGATGGTTTGGTGGTAATCTTTGGCATTCCTTGGTTTGTAGAAGTGTCACCCTGACCTCTGCCTTTGTCTTCACATGGTATTTTCCCTCTGTGCTTTTCCCCTTCTTCTAAGGACTCTAGTCATATTTGAGTAGGGCC